GCCCCCTCCTCCTGGGCATCTTTGGGGAGAGCTGGGCTGCATTAACCAGGCCTGTGGGGGACAGGCCCGGAGCAGAGCTGTGGGGAGGCCTGCCAGGAGCCAGCCAGGGGCGTGGGCACCAAACCACTAGAGAGAGCAAAAGATCTCCAGGGGAGGCAGAACGACGGGGCTGTGTGTGGAGAACGCACAGCCAGGGGCAGAACTTACACGACAGTCTTCCATCCTGTCCTGGAGTCGGAGACACACGGAACGAAGAGCACAGTTGCCCCGGTGTTCCACGCACACCTGGCTGCTCTTGCTGTATTCCGGGCTCTCACATTCACGGACACCCACAGTACTCTCGGGACATCCTGGGCACTGAGATTCCCACTGTACCTCAGGAGCCCACCTCTCAGGGACCTGCTGCCCTTCCCAGCCACCACCCGGTGCCTGTGGCAGGTGTGCCTTGGTGTCCAGACCCAGCACTGCCCTCCAGAGCAGGAGTCACTGGTTTAGACCCTGGTGCAGCCTGGAAACAGCATCACAGAGAATTTGGGGGACAATATGGTGACTTGAGGTTGGTCTCCCAAAACTGAGAGAGAGAAAGAGAGATACAGAGATACCAGGCTCTTGGTGTCTCACTTCACAAGGAAGGGCCAGTTGTGCAGAAAGAGAGTTTAAAAAAAAAAAAGGATGTAGGAGGTGGCAAACTAGGTTGAGGTCAGAGGGTAAGAAACATATTTTTAAGTCAGTTTCTGAGGCCACCTATAGGGGCAGGCAATGCAAAATGTAGAATACTATGATGAAAAAGTAACTCCCTCTCCAGTCCCAGTTCCTCTGGTCCCCCTTATTTTGTCTGGGTCACACTGCAAATCCACACATGGAAGGGGCCGGGGTGGTGGCTCCATGCCAGAGGCTGGCCTGTGAGAGTGGGGAGCATGGGCCTGTGAGAAGGCACACGCATGTCATAAGACACAGCAGCATGGAGTAACTCCAGCCTGGATGCTCCTGAGCTGGAGGTGGTTCTTAAACATGTTGTCTCTTGACAGCTGACCCACTTGTGACCAGTTCAAAGAGTTGGTGATCTTGCCCAGGTGTGTAGAGGTGGTTGGTCTCCAGCTTCTGATGGAGCCAAGGTGCCTGAGCTGGAGGTGGTTCTTAAACATGTTGTCTCTTGACAGCTGACCCACTTGTGACCAGTCCAAAGAGTTGGTGATCTTGCCCAGGTGTGTAGAGGTGGTTGGTCTCCAGCTTCTGATGGAGCCAAGGTCAACCCTCCTGGAACTGCTCTCCAGCCTGGGCTCCTGGAACAGAACCACTCGCAGGAGGCAGCGTGGCTGCCCTCCCACTGCACACAGCCTTCTGCCCAGGCTCAGACTTCCCCACATCATCAGCCTCTTCAGGATCCTCCATCTCCTCCATAAGCAATCCCAACAGCAATCAAACATTCTTGAAAATATAACTTTGCAACGGCTTGGGCACAATGTGGTAAGAATGGATACACATTCTGCTGGAGTGGGGCAGGCCTCTCAGTAAAGCTTCCAGTCTCCCAGATAAGGCAGTGCTAAGAATGGACCCAGCTATATCCTGGACATAAGTGAATCAAACAGCAGGGACCTCTGCCATGTGTCTGGGCTGTGTTCGGTACTGTGGGTCATATGAAAGAGGCCAAGACGTGGTCCTGCCTTACAGTTCAACTCATAAGACTAACAAACATGCAAGGCTGACCTCACTGTGTGAGGCCACATGACCATTCAGGCCTCCAGTGAGCTCAAGCCTGAACGTTTATGTGAAGCTATAATACCTCACATTGTTATTTAGCTTTTCTCTATGTCTTGTATCACCCATTAGGTTATTAACTCCTGCAGAGTAAGCAGCACAACTTCTCCTTCTCAAGGTCCCATGCCCCCCCCCCACAGCTTCCAGCACTGTGCTGCACACACAGGGCTCATTATGCTGTCACCGAATGCTCCAGTAAGCACAATGGTGTGGAGCAGATGTCATTGCAACAGGCGCTTGTGTGAGGGAGCAATCCGGGCGGGCTGGAGTAGCTGGAGGAGGGAGGCTTCCAAGGAGGTGCAAGAGGCAGTTGACCGCAAAACCGCTGTGGGTCTTTTCTCCTTTTCTTCTTGAAAGAAGCAATTAAAAAGCATTAAAAAAATTATAAAAGCATACATATTCATTATAGGAAATACGTAAAATAAAGAAAAATATAAAGGAGAAAACTTAACTCATAGGTAATTTGATTCCCAGACATCAGTGAGCACACAAAATACATAATTATAAAGTGTAGCAACTGCTATGAAGGAGCAGACTGGTAAGAGAGTAAACAAACCATGGCAGGCGTGATCCAGAGCAGAGAAAACAGAGGAGGCCTCTCCCAGGATGCGACTCTTCAGCAGAGACCTGGAGGATGAGCAGGGACAGGTGGGCGGAGAGAGGGGGTAAGAGCATAACAGGCAGGCAGGCGTGAAAGGATATGTATTTTAAAAGGTAACTCATGATTCTCATACAAATATAAGATGAACATCTGTCAAAGATTTTATTGAACTCAATAATTAATGAGGGAACCAGTAAGATGTTACAACTGCTGCAAAGGAGAATTTGAAGTCCCATGCTGAGATGAAGACAGAAATAGATGCCAAGCTAGGTGACGAAGACCAGCTGTGCCTTCGCTGGGCAGAGTTTATTGGCACGTGGAAAATAATTGTTTTCATTACTCTCAGTTATCTGCAACTTACAGAGTTGTAAACTAGCTCAGAGGAAATGAAAAATGGGAGGCTTCCGGTCAAGATGGTGGAATAGACAGTCCCCAGCATCACTCTCCCACAAATCAACCAATTTACAACTATAAAAAAGCAATGACAGCCAAGCTGGGGCCACTGGAGCTCAGGGGAAGAGGAGAGACCTACAGAGTGCACAGAGGTGGGAGAAGCCACAATGAGAGAAAGAAAAAACCAGTTGGACCATTTCGTGCTGCGGATGCTTCCAGGCTGGAGCTGCTGAGCGCACAGAGCAGGAGCCGGCAACAGCTGCAGCTGTGCCCTTTGGATGATGTTGCTTGGAGGCGGCAGCAGAGAAGAGGGCCTTGGTGGCCCCCAGGCCAGCAAGACCACTAACAGGGTTCCTGTGAACCCACACAAGAATGAGGAGCCACAACAACTGAAAAAAAGGAGCCACTCAGAGGCCAGTAAGTCATCACAAGGGACTGGCATACAGCCCATCTCATGGTAAGTGTTTGGAGCATGGGCAGTGGGGGAGACAGGCCCACCAGGGGAACACTGGGACACAGCAAGGACAGGACCACTCAGAGGAGACTGATCAGGAATATAGAATTGCATGGGGTGCAGTTTTATATAAAGACTCAGGCCCAGATCAGAGTTTCTACACAACCCAGGTGCACTGGGTCTCTGGAGAGTCACAAGTACCTATAAGGTCAACCATTAAAACCTGAGCTGCACAAAAAGCCTTCCCTAGGGAATCAGCAACAAAGCAGCAATTTAGCTCAACCACACAGCTCAAGTACTAGTCCCCACAGGAAGTTCCTCCATGTTAGAAGTAGGCAAAGGACAACAAATTAGTTCCAGCTCAGGCACACTGCCAGAGCCTTGGGGGCTGCCTGGAGACCTGAGGTATAGAACCAGGGACAGGACCCCCCCACCCCGCAACCAGGCACACCACCAGTGCCTCAGGGCCTGCCTGGGGTCCTGAGGTATGCAGCCAGGGACCAGACCCTTCCCCCCACAACCAGGCACACCACTGGTGCCAAGGAGCATGCCAAAAACATCACCTCCATGTGGGTGGCCCACCACAGCCGGCACAATAACCATGGCTGCCACGAAAGCAGCTAGATGCCACAACCACCACACAGATGGTCTGCCAGCCACTGGAGTACATTGACACAAGGAGAGTCACCAGCAGAGACCAAAGAAAAGAAGAGGATGTCTCTCTCCACAAAGCCCATTCCAGAGTGACAGAAGAAGCATCTGCTCTGCAATAATATTGGGGGACCTGATCACACCTCTCAGCATTGGACAGATCATCTAGGCAACAAATCAACAGAGCAACCTTTACTCTTTCACATGGAGAAAAGAAATCTAGGGTTATTGGGGGGGGAGCTGGAGGGGGATAGGGAGAGACTGGACAAGGGGCATAAGGATATGATTTGTAACTATATGCTAGTAACATTGATTTGATCAACATATGTCAATGTTGAAGCCCCAAAATATATACAATCAATTATGATTCAATAAAAATTTTTAAAAAGTCAAATAGATGATAAATATTAATAAAAAAAGTAAAAGAAAAATGGGTATAATTAGGATAAGTAGGACAGTCAGGACACCCACGATTTTTTTTCCTGTTTCAAAGTCTTCCACAGTTTTCCTGACATGTGCAAGTGTCCTGGGGAAGGAAAGAGCTCAGCAGAGTGGTGCCTTCCTGACAATGGATGAACCTGCACTGACACATCATAATTACCCAAAGGCCATGGGTACCATCAGGTTCCAGTGCTGGTGTTGTGCGTTCAGTGGGTCTGGGCAAGTGTAGAACGACACGTGTCCACCGTCCCAGGACCGCTCAGGGATTTCCACTGCCCCGAGAACCCTCCTCCCTGCTCCCCCGTTTTTCTCATTGACAGCGCGGGGTGAACACGTGCTCACATCGTCAGGTATCCTCCTGAGGCACACGTTTAGTGGCCGCACGTGCTCCCTCCTAGTGGACGGGCCGTCAGCGCTGACCAGGCGCTCCACGCTCCATCCTGTCCAGTTAAGCTGTCCCCACGTAAGGCTCTCACGTGAGCCTTTGTCCTCACGTTTCTCTATCTCCTTGGATAGATTCCTGTAAGGACAATGTCTAGATTGACAATTATTCTAAAAGTGTCGGTGAACAAAAGCTGCTTTCAAATAAAGTGCTGTAGGACACACTGGGTGTGGGGAGGCGACGCTCTGAGGGGCGCCAGGCCGTGGCCAGCCCGGGGCGTGGGGCGGGAGGGCTGCGGAGGCCACGGGGGTCGTGCAGAGATGGGGGCGCGCGCCAGCAGGTGGGAGGAGAGGACGGAAGGCCGGGCAGTGCTGCCGCGAGCCCAGGAGGGACGAGGGCCCCGGGAAAGACCGTCGTGCTGGGAAGAAGACAGTCACCGGGACCTGGACGACAGCAGTGCCACCAGCAGCGTGGAGCGTGGCCCAGCGGGGTCCTGGCAGCACAGGGAGGGCCTGCAGGTGAGCTGGGGGCGAGGGCAGCCGGGTGCCAGGTGGGCTCTCGCCCTCGCCCCTACGTGCCCACCGCGGCTTCCCCAGCTCCGTTTTCAGTCCCGACTGTCTTTCCAGCCTCGGAGGACGTGATGTGGCTTCGCGGGACACGCACTTGACACGGAGCCTGGCACACAGGAGACGCTCTTGCAGTGTCAGCTGAGGAGTCCGAGGAGCGACACACACGCAGCAACGGCGGCGGCGCCCGGAGCCCCGCGGCCCCCTGGTGCTCCCGGCCCGGCCCTGGG